TAATACACTTTGCAATAATACTGCACTGGTATAAAATATGATAAGCATTATAAATATACAATTTGCCTTTACAAAAGAAATATGATTTTATCTTTCTCATTATTTATAATACGCTTTCTGTACAAGCATTTAAAACATTCTGTAAAGCATTTCTTTCAATCTTGTTTTACAAGGAGATCAGTCATGTCAAGCGAAGAAGATATTTGCAATGTTTTTTCATTTGCTAAACGTAAAAGAGATACAAAAGAGATTAGGAAACTTAATGATTCTGCTTTATTTTTTGTTAATAATATGGGTAACTTTTTGTAAATTTTGACGAAACTTTTAGTACCAATCATATCATTTGAATTCTGCAGATTTTTATTTGCATTTGCTATCACATCTTGGTTGTTACTATCTTTAAATAAACATTTCCAAATAGCATGTTTCAATTGTTTCATATCAATTTTCTTTGCACGTACACAGTGTGCGATGGTTGTTTTATATGTTATATATAGTTTAGGCATAGTAACTAAATTACTACCAGTTAAAGGCTGTGTAAATAACACGCATTCGTTTGTAAATACAGCATCACATGAATGGCATTATTTTCTTCAGGTCCTCTATATTCATCAAAATTCGTTCGAGGACAGTAATTTGATGTATTATTATCATAATCATATTCATCAGAGACATTAGTAGTGTTTAAGAGGGTTTAAATATTGTTGCCTGAAGATACAATTTATTAGCACATGCAATATCATAATGTTGATCTGGAGGTAATGTTAATATTTCTTCATTCCATTCCATTTTAGGCGTTCTAGTATGCATTATAGATCGTTCACTTTGTAAACATTTAGCTACCATGCTTTCTGTTGCTTCTACACCGTAACTCAATTCTGGTTCATTTTTCCTCTTATCTGGTACTTGATGACATTTTTGGATTATATTACTGTTACTGATATTTTTCTTTGAGGCAGCAAGTGTCCAATGAGATAGGCCTGTCTAATGTATATTTAAATTTTGTCAAATAAAACAATATTTCGAAGGCTTAGATTGGACAATGCTGGCTAGAACTTCACAGAAATCTATAATATTTTCTACTTGATCAGGTAATTGAACACACTTGTTAACATTTTCTTCTTGCATATCTGTAACATTAAAATTATTCATAACAGCACATGATTTGTCATTATTTTGTGGTAATGATACATCTAAATCAAACTGAAATGTATTTTCATTCATTTTATCTAGTTGCACCTCCACTGTTTCGTCACTTGCATCAAAACTTTGAAAATTAAAATAAAACATAGGAGGTCAAAGTTGCATTTGTGAAATATCTTTTATTGTTGGAGTACTATCTACTACATCATTATCTTGTATTTGTTTACGCTCTACTGTATCCATTAAAATATCATCGTATGGGTGAAAATAAAACCTACACTCTACATGGTTAGGTAATGTAGCTTGGGAAAGCATATCAGTAGTTTGCAAATCTGATTCCACACTTGTTAAAGGAGGTTTCTCAGTTTCAACAGAAAGTTGTTAAACTTTCCACTGTTATAAGTATTTGTAGTTTCATTCTCTTCATTGTTTTCTCTTTCATTTGGACTCGACTATTTTAATTTCCTTCTTCAGTATCCATTGGTTCTGCATTATTATCTCTTACATTTTAATTGTTTCTTCCTTGGTTTTCTATTCCACTAATCAACTTAAGTATATCCACATATACACCATCAACACAAAATGCATAAATTTTAGTGCTTACATCTAAAGAAACACTGGCCATTTGTAAATTGAACATGTTTGCATCTTGCTTTTTGATCAAGTACGTCATAAAGTCAATCATTTCCAAGCTGAATGCATTTATGGGATTGATTTTATTTTCTGTACTAAGTTTTGTACATTGAGATATAAACACTTCCATTTGAGCACTTGGTATATTACCCAATGCACTAAGACCTACAGAGCTTCTTCTATTATTAGCATTTGCAGCAGGTAATGTTATTGATGTACTGCTAAAATCATGGTGACGAGTCAACCATTCTGCTTCATCATCATTTTCTACTATGAGACAAATGTTTTTTGCAACATACTCGATTTCCATCTCAATAGTGATGAAGATGAAGTTGAATGTACAACAGCATCTATTAATTTGTTTGTAATACCTTCAAGTATTGCAAGTTTTCGTTACTATTACTGAAAAAAAGAAAAAATATTGCTAATATAGTTAAAATCTAAGTTAGATTTCTTTAAGATTTGTAAGTGATTTTATAAAGTTTTAACAGCAAACTTTGTACGTACCTTAAGTTGTAGTCTGTACATGAATATCTTTTTCCATTACATG